AGGCACTCTCAGGAGAAACTACCACATCCAAGCTGCTCAGGAAAGTATATGCATCTTTAAATTTTATTTATTTATTTATTTTAAAATGAGGATTGAACCCAGGGTTGCTCTACCACCCGAGTTACATCCGGAGCCCTTTTAGTTCTTTATTTTGAGACAGGGTTACTTAGGGCCTCACTAAATTGCAGAGGCTGGACTCAAACTTGTGATCCTCCTGCCTTAGCCTTCCAGTTGCTGGAATTACAGGATTATAGGTGTGTACCACCATGCCAGGCCAACTATTATGCATTTTAAAGGAAATAAATAAAAAGTGACCCCATCAGAGAAGCTGGCAGAGGTTGGAGGCAGCCTTGCTGAGCTGGCCTGTAGCAAATCTCCTAACCAGGTCTTCCCAAGGCTAAAGAAGAGCTGGTCAAGACACCAGGCCAGGACCAGCATACGGAGCATGCCCTCCAACTTGGGGAAGGGAGATAATGGAAGATGCAGAAGCTATCCTCCATGAATTCTGGTTCCCCATCTGGTGACAAGCATTGTGACAGCCACCCTGGCTAACATATCCGGGTTCTGGGAAGGGACTAGCAAAGGGTGAGGGCTGCTGCGAGTTCAGACAGGAGCAGTCCTCTTAAGCAAACAGTGCGCACAAAAATAACTCCCATTCAAAGCACGATTTACTGTGCAGGCCGGCCTTCCCAGCACAGAGCTCTTTTCAAACACAGCTTCACCCCTGAATGTGCTGGGGGAGGGGGCACCCTAGTCCAGCTGCTTCTGAATCCACTTTTTCCAGATAGTGTCCGTTTCCTGGAGACTTACCCCGAGAACTACCCAACTAAAGGCCATCTTGAAGCACCCCCAGAGAGGAGAAAACCTTAGTAGATTGGCGTGTCCTCCCCTAGGTCTCTTGGAGGAATAGACCGGCTCAGCAGCAGCCTTTACCATCCACAAAGCAACCGCTGCCATGTGCTTCTCAACAGCTCCCAGGGAGGTATTCTCATTGCTGTTGTCCCATCTCACAGATGAGAAAAGAGAGGTTTAGAAATGATAAATGACCAATGTATCTCCTGGCTCTAAATCCTTCTCACTACAAACACTCGCTTCTCTGATTCTGCTAATTATCAAAGTAGCAAAATGTCCAGATTGAGGCTCTTCCCATCAAGAGGAACAATGGGGATAGAATGGCAGACGGAATCCGAGGATGGAAATCACTCTTCAGGCTCGCCTGGCATGCGTGCGGCCTGGGGTCGATCCTCAGCACCACATACAAACAAAGATGTTGTTTCCGCCGAAAACTAAAAAATAAATATTAAAAAATTCTCTCTCTCTCTTTAAAAATAAAGGGGGGGCTGGGGATGTGGCTCAAGCGGTAGTGCGCTCGCCTGGAAATCACTCTTCACCCTTATTGATCCTCACACTCCTCATCACAAAGTCAGAGTTGGGGTGGTAAGCCCTCTTTAGGTAAGAGCGTAAGATCTTAAGCAAAATTTTGTGAGACCTGTTGGCTCTACTTAGGTGGGAGCTAACTTTCCCACTGTCCACCCTAATCCAAAGCACCCTCCTTCTCAGTTCTCAAGCAGCCTGCCTGCCCTCCTAAATTCCATTCTTAGTCCTTTTCAGGCTAAAGTCATCTCTATTTTTCACAATTTTTCTCCACTTATAAAAGTAATTTATGACCACTGTAGAAGATTGGAAAAACCAACAGAAGATTAAAACAGGAAATAAAAAATTATCCATGTATCCAGTGTCCCAAATTAACCTCTGTAAACATTTGATGCATGTGTCTGGTGTTCTCCGTATGTGCGCATGATGGACATGTGTATACAGATAATTAGATCTTTACAAAATTGATACTTATACAGTTTTAGATCCTGTTTTTTTTTTTTTCTTCTTTTTGTAGGCGTTTTCCAGGTGATACACTGTTCTTTGTTAACTATGCTTTTTGGTGTTTTGATAAAGGGGCCTACAGGAAAAACAAAATTTTTCCTCCCTCAGCCATTATTTCCCTCCCCTGAGGCAATTAGGATTACTGCTTCTTTTGCACCAAATAATCTTTAAAAATCATGAATCAAGACTATTTTGCTCTCTAGCTTCCAATAGTTTCCCATGGCTCTGGCAATAAAAGACAGGATTCTTACCAGGTGAGGAGGGGCCAAGTCCAGCCCTCTGTCCTCAGGGACTCTCCCCAGAGCCACATAGCTGTTGGCTCCCCTTGTCCACAGGGGGTTTCCTTTGCTATTCCCTCACCCTGGAATCCTCTTCTTCCTGTCTTTGTGCAGCTGGCTTCTACCCAGTCTTCAGGCCTGTGTGGGGCAGCCTTCACTGCCCTCCCAATCCAGAGCCACCTGCCACAGGCCTCTATACCCTCTTTCCCTCACCCTGTGGTACTTCTTTCCTATCACACAGGATGAGCCACTACTATCTTGGTCCCCTACAGCCCCTTTAGAAAGAAGCCTCTGGCAGGGCTTGGGAGCACTTGCCTAAAATCCCAGTAACTCTGGAGGCTGAGGCAGGAGGATATCAAGTTCAAGGTCAGCCTCAGCAACTTAGCAAGACCCTATCACAAAATAGAAAATAAAAAGAGCTGGGGATGTAGCATAGTAAAGTACCCCTGGGTTCAATCCCCAGTACTCCCCACCCTCAAAAAGAAAGAAGCCTCTCTGAAGGCTGGCATGCTACCTGTCTTGTTCACCTGTAGCCCACTGCCTAGGACAGGGCCTGGTACTTGACTGCCACATTTCTTTAGCATGTTTCTGTTAGAGGAATGAAACAAGGTGTCTTCAATGCGGGGTCTCATCACTGAAAGCTCTCCACCTGCAGAATCTCCCAGCACCAAGAATTGAATCTCTGGCCATCCTCTCCCATCCCTGGGGCAGGTTAAGAAGGCAAGAGAAAGCAAGACAGGAGCCTGTCCCAGGCAGCCTGTCGCCCTCTCTCTGGCTGCCTCGCCTCTTATTTGTACTCCGAAGTGGTCACAATCAAACAAGGAGCTTACGTGGATGCCAAATTCCAACTACTAGTGGAAAGGCAGAGGTGGCACATTTGTCCCTCATTTACCTGAAACCCATACTCAGTGTACTCTGGCAGCTGGGCCTTCCCAGGCTCTCAAGTGAGTCCCAGCAGCAGGAAATGCAGACGCGGCCGAGGGAGCAGAGCTCCTCCAGGGACAGCCAGGCCCATCCCACCTGACTCTTCCCCTGGGCTCCAGACACCTGGGCTCCTCTCTCTGGAAATTCGCACAGCCCCAGAGACACAAATGCACATCCAATCCTGAGCCAGCAGCCCTGGCCAAGAATGCCCAGGGGACACCCTTTTGGAGATACTTCCTTCCGGGGGCCCAATTTCCATGGAAAGAATACTACAGTGGTACCCTGTCTGATTTTTTTAAAAGAAGGAAAGATGAAATGCTGTTCACAAATATTGTGAAGCAAGAGAGGAAAAAACAAAAGAAAAAAAGACTCAAGAATATGAAACTAAATGAGGAATAGGAAGGACAAGTTTGAGCTTAAGAGCCCAAATCAGAACCGGGGAACAGGAGTTCAGTGAACAAATTATTAAAAAATTGATTAAGTGGGCACAATCCCAAAGTGCTCTTCTGGGCTCTACACAAGTTCACTTAATAATGGCACAGGTTGGGGGGTATAGCTCAGTAGTAGAGCAAGCTCCAAGCATTGGGTCCCATTCCCAGCACCACCAAAGAAATTCATCAGTAAAATAATGCATTAAAAGCTAATTTTTGACGTGCTGGGAATGGAACCCAGGACCTCTGGCATGCTAGGCAAGTGCCCTACCACTGAACTGCAGATTAGTGTTTTTCCTTTTCAGGATAACGAAGTGGGTACTCTTCATATCAGCCCCATTTTAAAGATGAGGAAACTGTAGGATAGGGGTTGATTAAACTGCTCCAAGTCATACCAGCACTGGGGATCTAATTCCAGCTGCCTGGAGCTTAATCACTAGGCTACACTTGGTTGTCAGTGATCCAAGTAGGTGGACCCCTACCCTCCTGGAGTTCATGCCTTCCAAACCTGCATCCTTCAAAGGATCACTGTATACCAGTTTCAAAGGTGAGAGCGCAATTCTGTCTGTTTTCATAAGAAGAAGTCCAGAAAAGTTGAGGAACTCGCTCGAACTCACGCTGCGCCTCTGTAGGGAACTAGGACTCAACTGTGCTGAAACCCAGCATCTAGCGAGGCACTTCCTAAAGGGAGCACAGTGGAAACTGGGTCTCTGCAAACCCCGCCCAGAGCAGCAACAGCATCTTCTCTGGCTGCCTTTGGCCAGACCCCTTCACCAGCGCCAGCGCCAAGGCGCTCGGCCCGGAAATTCCCACAGAGTTAAAGCAAACTTCCCAGGAAAACTCCCCGGCTTCCTCCAAGCCCCTGTCACGGAGGCGACTGCCAAGAGCGCCAGCGGAGTCTTTGCAGCTGCCGTGGGCCCTTCAGGGAGGGAGCCGCCGCTCCAGCGTTCGGGGTCCTCCCGGAAAGGTCCAGGGCTGAAGTTCAAAATTCACTTCCCGCCCAGGCCGGACTCGCGGCCCCGCCCGGGACTCTCCGGCAACCCCAGCTAACCGAACCGCCCCAGCTCCAGTTAAATAATGGGGCACCTCCAGCCGGAAGACCCCGGCGGACAGCGGGGCGATCCCACGGGCTATCCCAGCGCGTATGGGAACTCCAAGCAACCCGAGCAAGCGCGCGCACACACACGCGCGTGCACACACCACCACACACTCACACACACGTGTGAGTGTGTGTTTACGTACAGAACGCGCGGGGTGGGAAAACAATGGCGAGCCGCCGGGACTGAGCGACCATCGCCTCCGCGTCTCCCAATCCCTAGGCACAATTTGCTTCTGCAGTGAAATACGGGGGAAAGGACCCTCTCTGGCATCCTAGGGTGGGAGATAGGGGTGCTAGGGAGAGGCTAGGATGGGGTAGGGGTGGAACGCGAGCAGCGCGAGCAGAAAACAAACAGGAGGCGGCGCCCGGCTGGTTCTCTCGGGAACGAACCTGGAGCGGTGGGAAGGGGTGCGCGGCCACCCTCACCCCGGCACCCCACACACTCAGGGCGGGGGAGCTCTGCGTCTGGTCTCTGGCCCCCGAGCCTCACGCGGGGCACGCACACGTCGCCCGGCTTCCCGCTGGGAAATCCTTAAACTGGGCGCACAGTCCGGTTTGTGAAAAAGACCTGGCGCCG